TTGAATTCAAGATTCTTTTTTCTAATTTATTTCTTTTTAATTTCATCTATATTTAAAATTCGATTTGGATCTAATTGAATTTTAATTTAATTCTAATTTGAATCTGCAATAGCAATATATTTAGAATTTAATTCTAAATTGAATTTAATTGAATTCAATATATTTGAAATTGAATTGAACCTGCAATTTGATTCTAATTCAATTCTAAATGAACTTTGATTCTGATTAATTCTAGGATAAATAATTCTAATCTAATTCTATCTTTATCCTAATTTAATTTCAATTTAAATAAAGGATTTTGATTCAATATTATTAATATAATTCCAATTTTATTTCAATAGATTTGTATATTAACTATATTCTATTCTATATTATATTGAATTATAATTTTGATATTCCAACTTATTTTTTTCGTTAATTTATTGTAATATTTTTATATAATTCAGATTGAATTAGTTAATAGATCTAATTTGATATTATTCTTGTTGCAATTTATTTTTGATTTTCTCTTTTTATGTTTAAATTGGTTTAATTCCCTACATATGAAATTCTAATTTAATAGAATGGAAGATGTTGGATATATAAAATTAATCTATTTAAGCAATTCATATTTCTATATTGGAAAAATATTATACAAATTCTTTTATATTTAAAACAAATCCATTCTCTAGAAATAGGTGAGAATCTAAAGAATTATAAAATAAATGAAATTGAAATCGAATTGAAATTGAATCATATTTAGGTTTATATTGAATACCAAATAAATTTGAATTTATAATGAATGAAATTTCAATCAAGAAATTATTAATAACTAAATTAGATTTAGCATTAATTTTGTATTTTAAAAATACAATAGATTTGAATAGATTTGAACTAAAAATCATCTATTTATTCGATTAGGATTTAGGTATTTAGGGTGTAATTCCTTGCCTTCTGATTAGAATATATTTATTTACATATATTCAATAAGATCAATATAATACGAATTTATATGGAGATTACGTGGAATTAAATTATTATATCAAAGAATTTTAAATAAATACCTCATCTTATAGATATTTATGCTTACTAATTATATATAAAAGAAAAATCTCAAATTTCATAATTATATCAATATCAAATTAGATATATAAATAGAACAAAACCTCACAAAATCATAATTTTCATATGCAAACCTCCCATGATTACCCACTCTCTCTCTCTATAAAAGAAACAAACTAGAAGATATTTTAAATATACAATAGAATAGATATTTTGTGTTTTGACGATAGAGAATTGATATTTGGAACGAGTGTGATATATAGAAATATTTTCATAGAATTGACATTAGAAAATATAAACAACAAATCATAAGAATAATTAACATTTTGGCAAAAACGATTGCATTTTATATAAAATATAATGAATTTTGAATCAAATTTCTGCATGGACATATATATTATATGATTAATTTTAAGAATTAGGATTTTTTTTTGGGAAAACATTTTAGATTAATATTATAACTTTGAGATTCCGTAATTATACTAAAAAATATTCAATGATATAGATAATATAAAGAATACATTCTAACCATTCTTCGATATATATATTTTTTTGTAATTTAGGTGGTCTTTATTTTCGTATATTTCAATATAAGGTTCCGACTCCATTTCCCAATATAGTTTAATGAAATAGATTAAAAAATATATCAAAAATAGATCAAATATATTCAATCTATTTATGCTATATATATTATTTAATCTATATTTGAAATAGAGAAATTATATATATTAATATATTATATTCTATTTTGAATTCTTATTTATGGAATATATAATATATATATTATAGATTAAATCATTTTTTATATTATATATTTTTACGACAACATATAAATATATAATCGATAAGACATATAATATATATATATATTTCAATATCTGTATCTGAGATTTAAGCCATTTAAGTCCTCAAGCCGGCTAGTCCTATAAAATAAACAAATGCGGCCCTGCCCACATCTAATTTCGGGTAATCGACAATCCTTTGACCTGAAATCCATCGAGAAGATCTCCACTTTGAGCACCTCGGGTGAAGTATATAAACTATATTATCCGAATTGGATCTAATAGGATAAATTTTTTAGCTCGACCACACCTGATTTGCAATCAATGTGGCAAGGCATGGCAAGGACCGCGGCTGCCTGATCTTCGATGACGTCGATAAGTCCAATGGGCGACTTGAAATTACAAGAATGGTTAGGCCCAATAGCCAAAGAAGACCTTGAAGGAAGCTTTGCTAGAACCGTAACCAGGATTATCCCAAGACAACGAAAAGGTTAAACCGACTGTCCTACAGAAGGCAACGCAAAAATATTGGGCACCTTGCTCGAGGAACTCAGGACACAATGTGAGGCACTTGGACTTCAAGCAGCGGCCCCACCACCTCCACAAGATTTGTCCACATTCATTTGAGAACGCCTACAGGGCCTGCTAGCAGAATTCAAAGAGGCAATTAAGAAGATCGTGCCATTTTGGCAACAAAACTCCAGCAATCCATGGGAAACCTAAATCTATTCTCAGAGAAGAAATCTGCAATCCAGACCAAAGCAGATGGAGGGAAATACACAAGTAGACGGCATTGCTTCAGGATCTCAAAGAACTATAAGGCAAGATTGAGGCAACCCAAAACGAATTTCAACAGACTACGACGCTCTATAATCAATAGCTAGAGCAGGACAAGCAGGCGGTTGAGAAAATGAATGTAGATCCGGACGAGATTACGACAGAAAAATTGATGATCATCATGTCCAATATAGGAGTCTATACAAGTGCAAAACATAGATAACGGATATTCCGCGCAAATTCAATGAGAAAACAACGAACAGAAAACACCCAAGACCTTAGTCCTTGAATGATCAATCCTGCAACTCAAGGGTCGCAAACGAAAAGATCAATGTATTGTCGCCAAAGCATTTTTGTTGCCGCAAGGTTTTGATTCGCAGATCCCTCGCATGTGCTCTCATGGATGTGGCCAGTTTTGAAACCATGGAACCAACCGAACATAGGCATAATCTTCTTTGGCAAATCCTTCACCAGGACCGGGTGGTGGCTATCTATCTGGGGCCGCCCTGCGGCGCCCGGGAGATTTGAGCAAATTGGCGCAGATCCCAAATCGCTCCTTTCGGACACACATCCGATATCCTCCGCGCGGAACATATCTCTTCAAATCTTAATCACATCGCATTCTTCAACATTCCAAATTAATGGAAGAGACTCTGAATTTTTCACTCTGCTGGATTGCCATGGAGACACTGGCAAGGTCCACCAAAACCAACGAAAATTCCAAAAATGAGACATCAATAACGAGGTTCTACTGAAGCACAACACCGAAAAAATTGGAAGCACCACTCGAGAAAGCAACGCCAGAAACTTGTGTTGAATAATTTCATCATAAAAAGTGGTCTCTAAATGCTGATTTTTTTTGAAGAGTCGATCTTTGTTGAATACGTTTTTCTGGCTTGCTTCTGTTGGATTCGATTGCTGGTTCTTCGAATCAATCTGCGCAATTAATAGCGACATCCATGGTGATCTATGAAAATTGGAGGCATCTTTATGATTTTTTGAGATAGGATCTATTATCAATAAAAGAAATATGGGTAACGCCGCAGAGCACGTGCGAACAGAACAGAAGCATTTTTAATCCTTTTGGGCGTGCATTGAGGTCAAATATTAAGAGAAGACATTTTTGATAATCCTGAGGTGGAGATATAATAGATGCATAAGCAAGGAGATTTATAATTAGATTTAATGGCAAATCTTGAGGACAAAGATATTTTCAATGAGACTAAATATATAAATTTTGATTCAGGGTCACGAAAGGAATTCATCCGTTCCAACCCGACAACACACATGACGAGAAGGGACCAATCCTTTCCGATCTTTTGTCGGAGAATTGGAATCGACATTTATATCTTCAACATCTGCAGGTATTATAAAAACACTTTGATGATAATGTGCAGGACGATACAACACATTTCCTCGCGGAGATAATGAATTAATCTAATTCCTGCAACGCCATTATCCAATACTTCCATATGGGCTATAGGTAATAAATATACAAAAAGAAATCATTAATCAATATGGCAATACCACTAAAGACCTTTTAATGTCCACAATTAAATATCTCCTCCAATTTTAACCTATCCATCATTAAAGATGGCAATGCCATAACTATTTTGCCATTTTAACACAATATATAAAAATAATATGTCTTTACGGTCTTTACATATAAAAATTTTTATACAATAATTATATAATCAATCCCAATATTATAAATTGCTTTAAAATATAGATTATATATATATATAGATAATATCCATCTAAATTTCTATTTCCATAACAATTACCCTATAAATAGATAAAAATCCCATATTAATAATTATACTATATTCCTTAATATCCCAATATTATACCTTTCAAATTTCATATATAATTATATTTAATTAATTTTTTTAAGATCAATTTTAATTCAATAAATTCAATATTATAATCCAATTCCACGATTAAAATACATAACAAAAAAATTAAATAATCAATATCAAAAAAGACACTTAATAATAAATATCCTATCATTCATCCATATAATAAATAATATCTATCGTCCAAATTAATATATAAAAAATATCCCAATTATCTATCTCCCCAAATTAACCCCCCAAAAAAATATCCACCAACGATTCTACCGGAAATTTGCCTTATATTCCTATTCCAAAAATATGTATTCGATAATTCTTTCGCACATATATATTGTCGCAATTTTTATTACGTTTTTCTTTGTTTTTTTGAATATTTTAAAAAATATAATCATCTAATTCCATATTCCTTATATAAATTTTAAGTTAATTCCCATATATATAATTTTATTTGTTAATATTTTATTAATAATAATATATTAATATCAATAATTTGTTATTTTTTCTTTTAATTTATGGATTTTTATTGATGTCATTTATGTTGTTCCAGTCAACCTGGCTCAATGACCCGAAGTTGACTCGACGCTGCAGATCTTCAATCTCTGGAAATCACAAAGTTTTTGAGTGCGTCGGCACATGGGGCCGGTACTCAGTTGACCCAGTTGAACCAATTGACCCAGTGGTAGAAGAAAAAGCAACAGCAGTAGTAGTAGTGATAGTAGTGGTGGTGGATCCACTTGATCCGGTTGAACCCAGCTGACCCAGTTGAACCCAATTTTGCTTGAATATGCTTGACGTACCTGGGAGGTCGTTCGCTACATGGTGGACCAGGGCTCCAGGTTGAACGACCCATCCCCTAGAAGAAATATCCCCGCCTGTACCTGGCCGCACTTTGCGTCTCAGATCTGCAAAGCCGCTGGCGCCGTTCGCCAACGTGTTGACGAAGCTCTCCACGTCCAAATGAACGACCTGTGCCAACGGATGTCTGCATGAACCGAGGGTGATGTGAGACCTGAAGCAATTCTTTCAGTGGCATGCCGAAGAAACCAACAAATCTGTGTGACTTTGCATCTGCATCTGTGTCCATCGTTCAGGCATCCAAGCTTAAGGCCAAGAACACGCAAAGCCCTCGCCTTGAACGGGGGCTCCAATTTCTGAATGGATTCCTGTCCGAGTCGCGACCACGGTTTTATGGTTTTGCGCCAATATGTTATGTGGGGAGATGGCATGGGCCGCTGGGTCAATCCATGCTGTGCTGCGCCACCATCTGGTCGGCTGAGTAAGACACGACACCTTGCGACACCACACACTTCACCTCGAGCTCTGCTCGTTTTTTGCTGGGGCCCACCATGGACACCTCGGGCCAAACTCGCAACAATAGCTGGTTCATGGGTGCTAGATGGTGCCACATGGTGGCCACCTAATCGTTCATGGGTGTGCTGGCGTTTTACATCTGTTTGGGTATATGGTTGATATTTGTTTGTTGTTCGTTTGTTTGATGACGTGCATCTTCATGGATGCAGGAAAGCAACAGGTGCCACTTGGTGGCAGCTGCCGGGTTTCATCATCTTGCTGGCCAAGCAGCTGTTCGACCGCTGCTTCCTGTAAAAAGAGGGGCGATGTGCTTCTGCATGGCAGCTCTCACAGAATCCTGCCAATCTGAAAGGTCTGGTGTTCACAGTTCGCAACTAATGGGACTAATGGCTTCCAAAGGCTTGTGACAGTAGGACCTAGCAGCTTCAGTGTTACCATTCATGAGAGAGGGCGAGGTGCACACATGGGACCTGCACCAGGAACCAAGTGAACTCTGTCGAACTTTTATGTGCAAAACTTGCTCTGTGCGTCACTGTCTTCTTCAGCGCCTCGATTCTTGACTGACTCCTCAGTTAGGATGTTGGTAATGCGTCTTCTTTCATCTAATTGAACAGCCACATTGGTGGGCTGTCAGCTGGTTTTGAGAATGATTGATGATTCTTGACCCACACATGGACATAAGGTCACTCCCATTCGACAGGGACAAACCGACAAACCCTGGCGGATTCCCATCAGTCTAAAACCGATTGAGAGACTGAGAAGAATGAGGGAGTTTGTGGAGGTGTCTCAACCTCTTGATGCAACTCCTTGCCAAACAAATGTGGGGTTGCAAAAAGAAAAAGTTAATTCAGTTTGATGACTTTTGCGGCACCCAAAGCGCTGCCTCTGTGACTCTCTGCACCGCACGCAAGAGCCATTGCAATTGATCTGGTGGCGATCGGGTTAGCCTGATGCATCGAAATGCGAGATGGCACTTGGAGTTTGAGCGCTCCACACTCCACAGTTGAAAAAGATTTTCTATTGACTGCCATCAACCTTTAAACAAAGCCTCCTTAAACACTCCACACTTCAAAGCTTCCTTAAACATCCAGTTGCCGTGAAACATGTTGGATACCACCACCGCCACCACCACCAGCAGCAGCAGCATCATCATCATCCCCGTTCTCCCACTTCCACAAATGAGGTCATTTCTGGCCGTTAGACCGTTAGACCAGCCGATTCTGTCACGCAAGACCTTCAGCCAGGCGGCATCATTGAGAAGGCCTCGCCCATCGCACCTGGCGCGCATCACTTCTTACACACAGCGAAGGCGTTGCCCAGCGAAAGCGTGTCGGACACTCTCGGAGTTGCAAATGTTTCTGGAATGCGCCCCAGCCAAAATGGGCAAGAAGAGGCCCAAATGACAGCGGGATGACAGCAGGTTCAAGTCCTGCGATTCAACAACAGTTCTTTGTCAGGATATTCGGAACACCTCTCAACCGCCTCCTTCTGATCACAGTGGTGTGGCATTCATCATGTCTCGAACGACCAAAAGTATGGTCAAACACAGAAAAGTCTAGCGCAGGATGTCACCAAACTACATGGCAGGCTCTGCCCAATCGCAAATGCAAGGAGTATAAGGACCCTAGTCTCCGGCGTCTCAACACGGGGCTTGCTTCTCGCAAATCCACTTGGGTTTTCCATGTTTTTCCACCCTGATCAGACTAGCGTGAAGGGAGCCTGTTCCTTGATAGCACAGTGTGGTTTTCTGTCAAACCGTCAAACCTCTCCCCCCCCCGTCTACCTGGCACAGTGTCGACCGGCTCGATCAATCCAAACAGCACTCCGCCTGGGTCGGACGACGCAGGCGGAGTACACACTTCGCTTCTTTGGTCGACAGTGGTTTCAATGCTTTTGGATGATGGCTTCGGCCTACGCTTTCGGCTGGTCTTTTTCAATTCACTGGAGCATATCCCAAGCTTACACTCATCAAAATCTGTGAATTATCGCATATGGTCGCCCATGGGCGATGTCGCCTATCAGGCGGTGCATCACCCATCGTCTGTCCCTCAAGCATCTGTCCCTCAAAGAGGACATCGCATCAACAGCATCGTCTTTGTCAAATCCATTGTGATAAAATTCACTGGAGCTCCCCACTTTGTGCTGCTTCCAGAGCGTAAGGGTCAAGGCCTTCCTCATCCTCATCTTCGCCCTCGCCTTCATCTGCCATGGGTGCATCAGAGCCTGCGAGTCTGCAAGGACCACCCCCAAAAGGCCTGCTAGATCAGCTAGCTAATGCATCCTGAAGCTTAATCACATCTTTAATCACATCTGATAGCCGCACTTTCCATCAGATCTTCCGGTAGACTATCCTTTCTCTCTCACTTTCTCTCTAGATCAAGTTCCGTGATCATCCTCTTGCAGCTATGAAGAAGAACACTCACGCTCACACATGTCCGTACCAAAGAAGCTCCAACATGAACAGCTGCAACTGCTGCAGCGCAGCTCCAACTCTGCGCCTTCGGAGCACAACTGCTCGATGATGGCGCCCGCAGCTTCGTAGGCGGCCACGGGGTTCGTGGCCTACGTGGACGGCCATCCCGGCTCGGGGGCACGAGGAGTGCGGAACGAAGAGTGCGGGTGCCAACCATCAGCGGAACGCGTTTTCTTGGGCCAACGGTTTGTTTAACGTCTGGACCTTGTAGAGCGAGAATGTCAGCTTTCCAGCTTCCAAGTCATGGTTGATACCATAACTGTACCTCAAGGCCGATGGTCATGGAGGCTCTAATTGAACAAAGTCATGTTGGGCACCATGTGGCGGCAGTCAGTCTCTAGCTCAAAGTGCTCGGCTTGTTGGAATTGTGATGAGAATCCTGTGAGAAGTATAGTGGATTGAGAGTAGGTGGCACGATCCCCAAAGGTGGGTGACATGGATCCATATGGATCCCCATCTGTCTAAGTCATCTTGGGGTGCCAGTGCCATCAACTCTAAAACCATTGTAAATACCATCAACTCGGCTCCCTGCGCATGACCTTTGCCGCGGATCTTCCGCCAAAATGGTCCCTCCAAGGCTGTGATGTATTCGATGGCCACCTCAGAATCTAGAGCTGCCCAGCACCACCAAATGTCTCAGAATGGGAGGGTAAACAAACATGTAAACATATGAATCATATGGCATGAAATGACCGCATGCTGAGCAATTCAGGTAGAGAGTATAAGAATCCTTCCTTCAAACATGGGGGATGCCTCTGTGTGGTGGGCATTTCCACGCTGAATTCTTCGGAAATCGGGCGAGCTGGTTCTCTTCTCTCGTCAAACGCGTCGGCTGGTAAGCCAAGCTGCCAGCAAAGGAGCAAGTTCTGGTGATCTGGGGTCTGTGAATGAATCACATTGGACCAGCCAGTAATTCGATTCCTGTGCGTTCACGGCACGACACGTCTCCCCCCATCGCCCACGCGGGTCGATCGGTGCTCCTCGGCGGTGCTGGAGAGGAAGCAGCCGTAAGTGGACCTGTCGCAACACATCCAACAGCGGAACCCGAACTGCTGATGTTGATTGAGCCATCCGTTCTTTGGGGTTTCAATCATGACTCATGACGTACGAGTGTGGTACGACTCTAAAAAGCCCAAGGCGATGTTTCACGCCCTGGATCGCTGGTTACCAATCGCCGGTCTACTGGATCGTGGGTACGAGATGAGGTTACATGGCCTGTATCAAAATGTATCTGACAATATCTGACATACAATGTGTGTAAGCATGTGTAAGCATGTTGTTGAAAGACACGCGAAAAGGACGGACGAAAACATGTGCAGTGCGATGAAGTTAATGAACGTCTGGATCAGTAGGCCAGTGATTCGTGATCTAGTAGATGACGGGGAACTCTAGGAATGAATAACTGAATACAGTTCTTGAACGCTGGACCAAAGGTATAATATACATGCCAAAGGTAAATTGCAAGAGTGTGTACGATGAGGTGGATCTTGGTCATTAGCGGCGTTTGTGCCATAAATCATCAATCCCATCAAACACATATTTTTTTGGCCAAATCCCTGGTCAATTCTTTCGATGGACACCTTCATCCACCCGATCTTTCCACCCCTTCGGCGGAACATAAGCGTCCCCACCCCTCGGGCGGCCGCAAGGCGTCCGCGGCATAGAGCTCCCGACGAAGGGCGGGCAGTGGGGTCGCTGGCGCGCTTTTGTAGCCTCCGCCGCCTTGGCCATTGGGGGATGAGGATGGGATCTCATTGAGGATGGGGCGGTGAGGCCGTCGCCCAGGTCGAGGACTTCAAAGACATATAGTTATATGTCCGGTACTGATGCGCCGTGATCTCTTCTTGTCCAACTGTGTCGCGATGTTGGACATGAAAAGGATTGAAGGTATGTTGATGCATGTGGTCATGCCTGCGCCGTTTTATTAACACTGCTGCGCAAGGACCGAAACTTCCCCACCTGCAGCCATGAAGGGTTGGTGGCACCACGGCTTGAAGATTCCAGTCTCCAAAGCTGCAATGTCTCCTGAAACATACGCCTGAGCCAGCGCAGCCCGCACAGCCCGCTGCAAAAAACATTCAGTCAAATCCTGGGTTGAGCATTTCAAGTGCCAGCTTACTGAAGGCACAAATGCATCCGATGAATGGTTAAGTAAACTTGTGCAACCGGCACCCAATACTAGTTACTTCGTAGCAAAATCGTTTGTATTCAACACATTCAAATTTGGCACACTCATCCAGCATGTTTCTTCACCCCAACATCCTTTCTGAAGACTTTTCCCCTTCCAAGGCACCAGCGCACCAGGCGCCAATAGCGCCGTCCGCACCCCAGCGAGCTCGCTCGCGCACGCGCCCAAGGGCGCAGCGTTTCCTGCGTCCTCCAAGCCCTGCGAGGTCCGGTGCGGCGGTTTTTGGGGCACGGCACCGCTCGACTCGAGGGCTTGAGGACAAAAACACTACGAAAACCAATCCTTTGAACGTGTACCAAAGATCTTCAGACCACTCAAGACCACTCACGATGTTCATAGCCTGAAGCTGTTCGAAACAGCTGTTACCAACCTCTTGACCGGACCAAACTTCCCAAGCCCAAACTGCAACATGGCTATATCAAGAAAAACATATGTTACTAATTCTTCCCAACAAATGTAGCAACTTCCCAAGAACAGCATCTGTTACTACATCTGTTATGAAGGATCGCCAACGCCAACACAGCTGACCACCCCCACGCAGCAGCTCTCAATGCACTGCGCCTTCAGCAGTTTCTCCACCCGGAAGACGTTGAAGGCGCCATGTGCACAGCTGTCGCTGTAGTCGAAGGCCGACATGGCCAAGCGCATGAGGCCCTGACTGTGAAGAATGACGGTGGGACCGTCATGGAACTTATCATGGCATATCATGCAAAAGGATATGCAGTTGACTGCCAACCTCTGAATGTCTGTGCCGGACTGGAAAACCATTGGCGGGACAGCTGCTCAAATGAACAAGTGGAAGGCACGGCTTCAGATCGCTACGTCTCGTGGTTTCGCGGTCCGGAGCTGCGCCTTGCCGTTGCGCTTGCTGTTGGGGACGTCGTTGAGCATCCGTTTCAGGGCGACTTGTAGCCGGTCCACCGAGAACCTCAAGTGAACCATGGCAATTCTTTAGGGCGTGGGCGTGGGTGGCCTCTTTATTTGGCATGTCCGTTGGGGAGGCCCAGCCATATTGGAACCATTTACGAACTTCTCCAGCTCAACTTTTCACTGCTCCATCTGAGATCTAAGGCCCGATAACGCCCACACCATGGATCAATGTGAAACTACACAACTATTCTCAGGACGCCGTCTTAAATACATGTGAGCTGATCTTTCTTGGCAAAGGTAAGATGGCCTTTTGATTTGTTTGCTTCACATGCAGCTCCTCTGTCGAAAAAAGAACCTCTGCCTTGCAGCCTCATGGCGGTGGTGACCGGCGATGATTCAATCTGTCCAAGTTGGTCTTACAGAAGGCCAAAAACCCGGCTGAAAACGAACGAAGAAGAACACATACTTTTGGAGTCTCCTCATTTTCCATCATTTTCTCTTCCTTGATGGAGGGTCAGCACCCAGGTCGCTCGACTTGGCTACGCTGCTAAAGACATGGACAAATTGGAACATTGGAACACTGAGCTTCAAACAAGCAAATGCCTGAAAGATTCTGGTTTTGGACTTAGAATGGCTTAGAGTTAGATAATGTGCTACATGCCAAAGGCATTAGCAAATGCCTTTTCACCAAAGCGCTTCCTTAGAACGGCTTAGGCCTCAAACGATGCCTAAGCCCCCACCACACACCACCATCTTTTGTTTTCCGCACCAATCATCGACCCGTTCTCCAATCGACCTGGTGTTGCTGATCCTGGCCGCCACGGGGCTCAACATCGGCCAGAAGACGAGCAATGAGCCAGGGTGCTTTCTCATACTGTGCTCGCTCCACCTGACGCGGTGGCTCCGCGGAGACCGAGCGGCGGGATTTCCACATGACGCGGTGGCGGTCTATTTGTGCTCTATCACTATCTGAGATTCTTGAGGTAACTCAGGGGGTTGACAATGGGTTATTGACATCAAACGATGCTAGTCTTGATTTCCTTTGGTGTAGACTTGCCTACAGCATATGGAAGTGCTCAAGAAACAATTGCAAAAACAATAGCCTTTATGGCACGATGGCCTTTGTGACTTCAGAAAGAATGCAATGGCTGCTAAAAGGCCTTGTTCAAACATAGTGCACATTGTCTACTGACTGTTACAGGGTAATTCAGGACAAACTCAAGATATATACCGGTTTCTTTTCACATGTTCAGTCGCTCTAATATAACATAATTCCTTGCTATGAACAATTAAGGATGCTTCTCGTGATGCCCATCCACCTCATCATACCTGATCCAGTGCCCTGGACAATGTACGGTTTGTGGGAAACCCGGGATCCAATGAAGTGCCGATTTCGACATCCTCGAAAGACTGGAGAAATCCATGAGTTCATCGCTTGAACATCGAAAAGGCTGTCTAAGCATGGAGCCGTTCTCATGAACCGCTACAGGAAACCTCTGACAACGAAACAACTTCCCCAAAACTCATGACAAACACACCTGGACCCCAAAACTCTAAACCCTGGTCACATGGACATCTCCCCGCAGAGATTCGGCGCTGTAAAGGAAGAGTTGGTCCTTCCAACTCCATTTGGTGCTGTTTTAGGCAGGCCTTCATGGAGATGTGCAGCATGTTGGCCGCGGCCCCGGCACGAAAGCGACCTCCACCGACGCCCACGTTGAAACTCCGGTGCACGACCGTGTCCTGAGCGCCAACGAGCTCCGGTCCCGTCCGGAGTGAAGAGTTCTTAAGCTATTTCTTGCCAATTGTACCAGTGCTGGCATCTACTTGAAGTACTTGGGACCAGCGACTAGCTTTGACTGATTTTATGGCATGTTGATGTATTTTGGCTACTATGTATAAACCTCCAAAATGCGAACGGATGGAAAGGTGTGCCCTGGCCCCGTTCTAGCCCTTAGTTCAACATGAAGCTCGCGCGCTAAAGCCCCTTTTTACCTGGTTGGGCACTTGAGCCAAATGTATATGGCATGTACCTATATAGCAACTATACTGGGACCTCATCCCTATTGACACCCCCCACATCCGTGCTTCGACGGGGAAGGGAGATGAGTGGATGTAAAAACCGGAGAACGAATCAAGTTCTCAAAAGTGTATTGGAGGTCAACCAGTATGTCCTATTGAATCGAATTGGCAAAAGATCTTGCATTTGCTTGAAAGTCGGATCAAACAGGTAATGGAGCTACAAGCGGAAAACGTGCACCTACCTATGGTGTCATGTGATTACCAGCGGCGTGAAACGCAATCCTATCTCACTCCCATGATGCCAAAATGGTCATCATGAATTACCCAAGATCCCTCAGTACATGAAGTACCGGAAGTGGCATGTCGGTATGACCCCAATGCTCAGCCATTCGTGAGTTGTCGCATGTAGTCAGCTCCGACAAAGCCAATGTAGTCCTTGATGAGCTCAACGTTCCTCGGATTTCCCGCTCGGATCTGATCCTCGAAGAGCTTCAACTGTTGTGCTTGGATATCGGATACCTCTATGCCATAGTAGCGGCACGCAACGAGGATCTCCTTCGTGGCATTCTTCCGCTCCGACTTGACGGCGGGGCTAATGTCGATGAATTTGTATGGAGCGGCACTTTCGTCATCTGGTTTCTGGTAGTAGCTATATCGGCTCGCTCCGAAGGTCTTCCTGATCAAGCGTCTGATGAAATTCGAGATGAATGCCAGCTTCTCGATGATCTCTTCCTGGGTCTCAGACCTTCGAGCCTTCGGATCACTCATGTTACGCCGAGTGCTGCCGACCTCTTTGAGATACTTGTGGCTGAGCCCGCAGCGGATTGCAGTGACCATCATCGGGTGAACAACGTGGGCGTGGAACTCATAAATCTGCCACGCTTCTGTTGCAAACGTGTCGTTGGTCCATTTGCTCATGCCTACGACTTCGGCTCTCTGGAGACGTCTTGGAAACCCAGTATCCGGATCATTCGGTACTAATGGCCATCTATTGTATGGAGTGTCATGCCGCTGCCCCTCGTCGAACCTTCGCAGTACGTCTTCACGACTCTCAAAGCAGTTGATGTCGAACGTCGCGTTGGCCAAGCTCTTGATCAACTTCATCAACTTCAGATCAAACTGCTGTGTGACCGCAAAGTTGTGGTCGATGGGGATCGCAGCTTCTTGTGGCAATTCGTCAATCGCGAAGGGGAAAGGCTGCGGAAGTTCATTCCCGTATCCATCTTGAGGGACCTCCCGATATTCGGGTTCGCCTTCAGCTTCGTCCGGTCGTTCCTTCAAGATGATAGGAACTTCCCCCTCTTCCTCTCCTTCGGATTCCTCGACCTCAATGACCTCTTCGGCTGTCTTGCGTGCATTCTTGATGACTTCGTCGATGTTTGCACCTGCAGCAGAGGTTGCTTCACCGGAAGAACTGGCTGGGACATCTCTCGGAGGTGATCGTTGATTGCGGTCTCTTGTATCCTTGGGTACCACATGCGTGAGTTTCCCATTCGCGATCAAAACCGCTACGCAGTGCGGACATACCGTCAACCGCACATCGACTTCACCAAGGCAGTTAGGACACGGTCTTGAGTCATAGTCTTTCATTGCCCGGCGGTACACGATCTCCTCAAAGATTTCCTGCCACTCGGTGCTATCATATTCTGGATATACGCCACTCTCCTCGATCATGCCCAATAGTTTCGAGATCTTGGCGTCGTCCTCGGAATAGGTATCGTCCTGAACTTCAACCGCTAAACTCTCAAGCTTCTGAAAGCGTGGGATCATGATCGGGTTTCCGTATTTGGACTCCAGAACAAGGTAGCTTCCGGGGTCGGGTTCTCTATTGAGTAACCTGATCCATTCGATCTCCTCAGGCTGTCCGGGTTCCGCATTGTCGCATTGCAACCATGCCCCTTTAACCTCATCGAAGGGAACGACGTTCTCGACCAATAGAGAGCCAGTCGCTGAGATGAGAAGTCCGTACTCCTGCAGCTTCGACACCGGAATGTAGAGAACCACAGGGCGATCGCTCAATGCGACCTTACGACCCAGCCAAGGTTTTCCCTTGTAGCCCTGCTCCCAGGCCCATGGCGGAAAACATGTGAAGTGGATAGAATCCCTTCCCGATGAACCGAGACCTCCTGGCACTAGCCCTCGTCGCATGATTGAAGTCAGCGCTCCAAGATTGGTAGCGTGATATGCAGTCACCATAGATAGGGCCATGTCGTTGGTCATCCTCGATCCAATGTGGTCAATGTTGATGGTGACGTCATAACCTCCGCCGTCCGATGAGTGTGCTGAGGTTGCTCTTACGGCCACGGGAAAGCACCATCCATCGCTGTGGTGGAGTCTTCCTTTAGAGATTCCCATGTCCTTGAGCTCGTCAATCCACCCCTTCTCCATCGGGTCATCAGGGTCATTGAGTTCATCAGGGTGAACGCGGACCGCCAGCATTTGGAATCTGATCCTCTTGGTTATGCGGAAACACTCATAGTTCTGGTCGAAGAACTTCTCCAAACGCGCCTTCTTGGTCACGGTATCTATGTTGCCGTAGTGATAACCGTCTTCCCAAACTGCATTATCACCTAACAGGTCCTCCCACGACACCCATGCGCCCTCATCGCATTTGATTGGTGTGAGTCTTCCACCTGTCCTGAACTGGCGTCCAATTCGATGTCTCAACTTCGCTCCCAATCGACGACTCAGGGCTTGGCTCGCTTGGCTGTATTCAGGCACTCGACTGTATGTAGTCGGGTACTTGTGGTTGCCGTAGTCGGAGCTCGTTGCAGCGAAAGTGACTCCGTTGATCGGTACTAGTTCAACTTTCCCGACCATCGTCATGGGGTCGATCGGCTTGTATCCCTTCTCCCTCCGTGTCGGTAGGGGATAGAAGTGATGACATGCCTTTGGTGTGAGGGAGCTGGAGTGCACGAACGCCTTCTCTACGAACTCGTACACCACCCTCATATCCCTAGGGCCCACCTCCGCAAGCTTCCGCCCATTGTAGGAATGTGTCCCTCCTTCGACTCCATCAGCACTCTCGATCAAGGTGAACCCGTCATGGTCGAACATTGTCACGACTCTTGCTTTCAACATCTCTTTTCGCCTGAACTCGCTGTCGACCTTCCTATCTGGAGTAGGCGATGCTCTCTGCTTCTTCTTCTTAGGCTCCTCGGTTGAATGTCCAGATGGTACATCGTCGGGCGCAACCTCTCCCTTCACTCTCTTCTTCCAATCATTCAACACTGAGATGACTGTAGGTGAAGATGAAGGTTTCTTCTCACAGTTGAGAGTTGTGTGTCCCGACTTCATGCAGTGGATGCAGAATTCTGCTTGCCCGATCTTCTCCTCGAATTCGTCGATGGCTAGCAGTATTGATGTCTTCGGGTCGGACATGTCAACGTCTTGCTCCTCCTTCTCCTGTTCAAATTCAGTCTCCATATCGGCACCTTCGGCCTCGGGCTGGCCAGTAGCCTCTGCTCCCTGTTCTGGCTCTTTCCCAATTTCGAAGAAGTGGTCGATGTCGAATTCAGGAGGCGGCATGGCCCTCATGCGAACGAGAATCAGTGCCACGTTTGCCGCCTCTTCAGAGTGCGGGTCCAAGGTCCTGATCGTCGATCGCTTTCGGTTCTCATACGTTGTCCTGTCGTACAGCGATGCAGTGACGCGCTTGATAGATTCTTCTAATCCCGTCCTCAAAGCTTCGATGTCACCCCATCCCTCGAACAGGTGCTTGAAGAGTTGAGCAATTTCGAGCATGCCCAGCAGCGCTTCCACCATGTCACCTACCCGTTCCTCTGTGGGATCATCTCCGAATATAGTGCGGAATACATCGGGCTCCAGTATGGTCTTGAGGTATTTGGTGTAGCACACGTTACCAAGGTCATAGGATCCCTGGTAGTACTTGACGCTGCCGACTGTCTGCTTTTCCACATGGATGCTGGGTCCTCTCCTCGTTTTGAAGAAGTTCTCCGTCATTGTTGATGACAGCCTGATCCCCCCGAAGAACGAGATCTCTTTCTGGAAGCCTGGATTCTCGTTGAAGATGATCATCGCCTCGTGCAAGAATTTCATCAAGTCTACGTGCGGGTTCATCTCGGAGATCATGACAGTGGGAGAAGATACCGTTTGTCCCATGCCGAAGTTATGAAGCATCCGAGCACATGCATGGAATCGCTTCTGGACGTAGTCTTCTGCGGACATCCCACGGCACCTATTTGCTGCTCCGTTGATGCATTCTGCATAGCAATCGTCTTTCTGATCGGAGTCTATGGGATTGCAGACCAAACAGAAATCGCAGCAAATTTCCTCACCCTCCTTGAAGTCATCAATGACGTACCACCTTTGAGTCCTCGAGTATACTGGTTCTGGCTGAAGGACTCCCCAGTACTCATCCATCCATGGCATCTTGTTCTCTCTCCTTACCTTCTCCCTCTTCCTTCGCTCAGTTTCATTCTCGCCTGGAGGCTCCGCAGTGGATTGATATGCATGGCTTCCTCTCACGGACTCTCCGAACAAGTATTGATACAGCCTCTCTTTGTCCTGCAACACGTGTTCCAAGTTGGGATCATGGAGGCTATTCGCTTCAGTCAAGGGATCCGGTGCCATAAAACAAGAAGCGAGCATCTTTTCTCTGAACAAGTACTTTTCCATGACAGCGTCGACCAAAGAGGTTCCAGACTTCATAGAGTAGGGGTGACCGCTCCCGGCGACCGAAATGGCTCGCCAGAATCTGT